AAATCTGACATCACCAACAAAATCTTTTTTAATTTAATTTTTTATATATAACAATTATAAATTTATATAAAAAATATGAATTATAAATTAGGATGGTTAATAAAATTAGAATTAGAAGACTTATAGATATTAAAGTCTTATCTATCGTATAGTGAAAGCTATCAGATTCGCAAATTAATACATCAAATGTTCAATAAAATCATCCTCAAGAATTTTTGTTGCAATTCAATTTAAAAAGAATGGGAGGATATGTAAAAAACTCATATTGAAACGCAATTAATTAGAAAAATTAAAGGACTATTACGAAACTAACTTATGGATAACGAAATAAAAATCATAGCTGCGATTATTGTGAATATACTAAAGAAAAAAGTTATCAAAATAATTACATTATTATTAATTCAAAATATTGAATTAAAATAAATCAGATGTAAATAAACTTAATTATTTACGATAATATTCATTTAAACCTATTAATTCAATAATCAGACGCTTAAATTCATTTTAATTTGATTTGCAGACTTAATTGGCTGTTCGTAATTTTCTATGGCTTATCAGTAATTCTTGATATCTGTTAAATTTAACAAAAAGTTATAATGAATAATAAATCACGTAATAAAATCAAAACATTATAAACCTTTATTATGATAAGCAATTAATTGTATCTTTGGATTTTTCCTAAAATTTTAATCAAATTTTTGACAAAATTTTTTTGAAGTAATAACCTAAATTATATTTTAGAGCTACATCAATACATTAAATAGATTATGATTGTTGAATTAACCCTTATACTTTGTAAATTAGTCATTTCCTAGTAAAGAATAGCCTGGTTATGTAATATTGATGATTACTTTTTATATGCAAAGCGTGAAGTTGATCGGGTTTTTCTTTCAAAACCTTTTCGCATATCTCAATAGCTTTTTGAAATTCCTTTCTTCATTTTAAAGCATAAACTATAATTTAAAGTTGAATTAACTCTTAGCAATTAAAATGAAACAATTTGATGGGGTTTCAATTAATTCTTAATCTGTATAATCCAAAAGATCTCTATACAATTTATCATTAATTTTTTGGCCTATTCCTTCATAATTATTCCTTACCCTGGTTAATTCATTTCCATTAAAGAAATACCTAATTTTATGAAATGTTATTTAATTACTTTTAAAGAATATTGCCAATGATTTTTGTTTCTCTGATAACTTATGTATTCAGTAATTTTATCATTAGCTTCCTGCCATTTGTATGAATTAAATAATTGGATTCCTAATTTAAGTTGTAAAACAATCGAATCCTAACTACAGTACATTTTAACCATCATGTTTAATGACTTAAAGTTGTTATTATCCTTTATCTATTTCAAATGGCTGAATCAATGTTTTCATTTTCACTAATTAAGTTCCTATAAAAATTATTTATATAGAATACCAATTTAATCTTACTTCATAATCTCTTCTTAATTGTTTAAATATTGATACCATTGCTTTATTTTCATATTCTTTAATTATTTTGAGAATTATTCATATTTTATTTTGGCCTATGCAAAGGATTTAATCAAATCGGTTGCTAGTTCAAGTATGTTATTGCTGAATTTAGTGATAAAAGTTTAAATCTAACCAAATCATTTGAGACCTTTCTTACAATTTTAATGCTTCTAAGAGTCTAATCCACATTATAGACAGAACTAAGGTCTTGAATCTTAGCATTCCAAATTTAAACAAAATCCTTATATAACTTCTTTTTCATGATCAATATCTTAACACGTAAACAACTTCATTAAAATTTAATTAAAAATAAGATAAATAACATTTTTTAATATGTAACTTAGAGATTTCCTAAAATCATCATAAAAAGATAAATATTTCTTTGTTATCATAACAAAATATTTAAAATTTCATATTTATTTCATTTTTTTCCTCCTATAACTTAATTTCTAAAATCAATAAATTTTTATAATGGATTGTCAAAATATCTCAAAATTTTCATTTTCTCTTTCATTTCTTATTTCTTTTTACGGTTATAATAGGCTTTTTGCACTTACTCGAAGATGTCACTACCAAGGAAAAGGCTATTAAAAAACAAAACAAACCAATATGTAACCATCCGTAAAACATATATTATTCATCAGTTAATTCTAAACTATAAACTAAAAATGATCCAGTGTTGATTAATAGTATTATTTCTCTCCAAATTAACTTTGCTTATTCAAAATTTGATTTTACTGGTCTAAAGAGGATCAAGTAGGTTAAATAAAAAAATGACTGCATCGAAAGTAAGATTGATTATGATTCAGGATAACTTATGAATTCAATTATAATCGTAATATAGAAACCAGTTTTATAAATTTGAAATGGCTTGTAATTAGCTGCCCAAAATTAGGTTTTTGAATCTTAAAAGAAATACTTCCATTTATGTTTATCCTTAATTTAAGAGGTTGTAATGGAAAGCAATTTTAAAAGTATTTGAACTAGAAATATTAAGAGTTCCGAAATTGTAATAAGGAAATTATACTAGAGTGCTGAACAACTATTAATGAAGCGTGGAATAAAATAGCAAAAGAGAAATAATATATCTTTAATTATTGACATAACTAGAGAATATTCTTCTAAAACATAGATATAAATTTAAGTATTCTGATATTTTTATGATTCTTCCTAAAAACTCTTCCTAAACATGATGACATTTTATTTTAGGATATTAGACAGCAAAGAATATAAGTAATAATGGAAACAATGTAAGATAAGTAACATCCTTTAGCATTTATTAAATAGAACTAATTTAAAACATCAGCTTATGATTATTATGATGACTTTGCTTGTAAAGTTGAAAGAGTGCCTCCATTGAGTTTGGCAATAAACTCATCAACTCTTAATCGATCCAAAATAGGTTTTAAGGAAACCTTTGTGTAAGTTTTAAGAAACTATCTTTAATGAGGAGGAAATTTATATTGCATATATCTTATGTAAGATAAAGTCTACAACAAATCTAATTAATTGAAGAATACAATCTAATTGCCAGTTAAGAGTAGAAGCCCAGAAATACTAGCTGTAGTATAAATAATTGCATCGTTCATAGAGATAACTTAGTTTGTTCTTTCCTACGTAGCTAATGATAATACTAAGGGTGTTCCAAGAAGAATTTCTTTCTTATGAGTACATAAATCCAAAATCATATTAGTTAAGAATAGAACTTTATTGGATATTAATTTTAAAATTTGGATCTGTTACAGGAGAATAAAATTACACAGTAATTTAATAATGAGGATTGCTTAAATGAGAAGTAATATTTTTCAATGCAACAACAGATAATATAAATTGAGTCTCTGGAAGGATGGCAAACTCAACAATTTATTCAAAAGGAAGACCATATTGTAAATAAACTTCTTAAGAGAAACTAAGGTCAAGTATTTTTGTTTGATTTTATCTATCAGAGAGCAAAATTAAATTGAAAATAGGTGGTTAGATAAAAGTACAAATACTTACTTATTTTCTTAGTTGATACATTTATAGGAATCTTCTTCAATGCATAAAGAAGAGCATCCATCTCCCCCATTGCTATTTCCATCATCACATTATTCAAAATTACTATCAAGAATTCCATTATCACATAGAGTTATACATTCATTATTGATAATGGCTTTATTCTGACCACACTAAACATATTGATTTTCATCCTCATCTGGTTTTTATTCTTCTTAGGATATTATTACTTTACATTGAAATGACTGAGTATCCAAATAGAAAGATTAACTTTCACATTATACACAATGATTATCCTTTTCACATTAAATACAACCTAATGAACATTAATATTCACAATTATAACAACCATCATATGGTAAGTAATTGCCATCATCGCACTGTTCATCTTGACTAGAAACAATACCATCACCACAGAAATCGATACATTAATTGGAGAAACATTTATTTATATTGATGTCCAAAATGCATTCAAAATCTTCTCTATCTGTTTAACAAGCTTCTTAAATTTGACAATCCTAACAACTCTACTTCCTTACGGTAAATATGAATTACACTGTTCATATTTTGTAAGAGAAACTTCTGCAGTCTAGCAGGTTTTAGAAATTCACTTTTTATCAATCCAAACGCAAGGATTTAATTTAATATCAAATTTACCCATTACTGGTGCATTGTTAATAATTGTAATTCTTACAAAGAGTTTAAACTATTTAGCATCCATCTAAATTTTAGTTTACAGTACATGAATCACCAAAATACTAATGGCAACTCTATGCTGTATATTGAATGAGTTAGGCTGTCGAACATTCCTTAATTGTACATTTATTTTGACTCATCATCCATTCACATTTAACATAATTTTAATCAAAGTAACATTGTTCTTGAATTGAATATCTATTGCAATCATTCAATTATTAACATCTATTCAAAGTAGTATTTTCTGTACACTCTTTTAACATTTTGTTGCTTAATTCTCTATACCATAGCTACTCTCACATTCAGATTGATTTAAATATTCATAACAATACCGATTTTAACATTGTCCTTACATCCATATACAAGTCTATCCATCAACAAGATTTGATCCATTATCACTACATTCCTATTCATTTATTTATACATATTGTTTAGTTTTTGATATCATCACATTTATAAAAAAGCACATCCCTAGCCTGTTGTATAATTAAGTCTGCAGAATTAAGTATTTATTAACAGGCATTCACGATTTGTCAAGGTTGATGTATTAATTTGGCAATCAACATGATCTACACATTTACCGTCTTACCAATAGCAATACTCTTAATAACATTGATAAATTAATTTAATTGATGTGCAATTTCCGGTTGTGTAAGTTATACAACCATTAACACCAAGTACACAATGTTAATTCCAAACAAAACAAGTTTAATCTGAAATACCAAAATAATTAGGCGAAGTTAAATGCTCGCATCTTCTCTACTCACAAATATATGTCTACAAGTTATATCCACATCTTTAATTGTCATATAATGTTGAAGAATTACATAATTATTATTCCCCCTATTGTTGATTGCACGAAGTCATAAATTTGCAACAATTATCATATATATAATTTGATGAATAGTCTTGGTATTATTTGTATTTATCTAGAACTGATGCTGATGTTTGAAAGGAAAAATGCTTATCTTCTGTTTACTAAATGCAACTATTATTAGTCTGGTCCTATTAACATAATTATCCTAATCCTGTCTTTTTGTCTTAAAAATTATTTTATGATCTAGAACTGCAATAGTTATCATAAATACAACTCTTTTAATCGTTATTATATATGCATTTCGAATTATACATTAGTATGGCACTGTTGCAAATATTACTTGATAATTTATAACAGTTAGAAATATGGTAACATCCTAATCCACTGGATAATAAAATACAATTTTTATTGTATAATTGACAAAGCTCATTGCTATTACTTTCTACAATATCTTTACATTGATTATCCGATAATTTGCAAATTAAGGAATTTGTAACCTAATAACATTAAGTCGGTCTTTATTCACACCCAGATCCATATGATTCGTCAGTTTTAATTTTTAATTGACAATTACCAAATTTTCTAAAATTTAAACATTCAGCCTCAGTTTGCGCAGTTATATTATCACTACACATTACATCCGTACAAAGTTGATTTGTTTCATCCCATTTATAGGGTTGCTAATCACTTCTGATTACAAATTGTTATTTATAACTATAATTGCATTGATATTAAAGTTAGACACAAGTTCTAAGAATATCTTTTACTGTGCACTTTTTAAGAAAGTTTCACAATATTAATGTGATATATCTCCATAGATTTTCTTGCTACAATCACTAACATTCTTCTCTTCTTAACATTTTTTTGTAAATCATCCCAATAACAATTTTTTCCAATCAAATTTGTTTTGCAATTACTTTGTCTGATGTATTCAGTACAATTTACCTTTTTTTTTATACAACCTTTTAAATTAATAGAGTAAATGACGGTGCATTTAGGATTCCATGCTTGACATTTAAAGTGTGTATCGTACAAACTATCATTAGGAGAAGATGTACAATCAACAGAACTAGGTCTATTCATGCAACCTCTTAAATTTGAATTAAAGATACAATAATCAAGCAAAGTATTGCATTCAATATTATTTGTATAATTATTTACAGAAGCATCTGAACATTCTAATATCTTATAATCAAATTGTAAACCTTTGTAACTAACTACCCCTCCAAAACATTTGGTTCCATCTAAAAGATTTAACTTGCACTACCGTTTACTTTTGTAACTAGCACAAGTATTTGACCAAAGTTAGGATCCAAAACCAGATGATCCTATTATGCAAGTACCCTCCAATACTTCAATGAGTTACAATTTTCATTTGTTATATATTTACTATGATCTGCATCTGTGCAAGTTTGATAAAGGCACCTATTACCATTACTGTCCCAATTACAATTAATACCTGAAAACGTAGAATAGCATTGTTCTTTGAAAAAAAGTCGCATTCGTTCTATTTATCGACACACCCAATTAAAATCTTAGAGCCTTATACAATTTACACATTAACTGTGCAATATGGTAACCAATATTCACATTATTAATAACTCTAATAATCTGGTGGAGCTTTATTACATTTTTTGTCAATGCATCCTTAATTCATCGCGCAAACTGTTCCAGTTGAATCAACCAAACAAAATTCACTTTCATAAATATTTTCACATTAATACTCCGCACATCCCATAGCTTCTAAATTGAAT